TAATCTTGTTTGTATATATGAGTGTACACACACACACACACACACACACACACACACACACACACACACCTACAAATTTAAGCATAGAAATTTGTGAGATATTTCTTGAAAGTATTTCAGTTATTTCTTTATTCTTTAAAACAGAAACTCATCTTAATATAAATGTGCATGTATATACATTTTTCAGGATGTGTGACACAGGAGAAGGGTTATTTACCTTTCAGACAAGAGAAGGTGAGATGATCTATCAGAAAGTCCACTCTGCAACACTGGCAATAGCTGAGCAACATGAAAGATTGATGATGGAGATGGAACAGAAAGCACGGGTAAGACCAGATCTTCCTTACGGTAATTACCTAGTTATTTCAGGTAATAGTTTAAAAATGAAGGCCTTCCACAAGCCAATCCTTACCAATTTGCTATTGTATATATTAACCATCTAAGACAGGGGTGTCAAACTGGATGTGCCAGATCTGTCACATGCTGGCCACATTCACCCCCTGTTTAGCAAAGGAGGAAAAAAAATCACAAAATGTCACATCATGACAATGTAACGCCATGAGTTTGACACCCCTGACCTAAGACATCACAGTGTTCTTTATTTTTATTTGGTTTTTTAAAATGGTATCAAGAAGGAGAAAGGTAATGAAAATGTTTAAATCATGTAGGCTTTGTATTATAAACTTCTGAATTGCTAGGTAACTAGCCTTATTACATCACGTTTCATCAAGCAGCCTTGCAGCAAATTGAGAAGGTAATTTGTCTTTCTGACTGACTCACATGGATCTTTTCTCTTCTACTAAATTTGACTTAAGTGTTTAATTCTAGGAGACCAAGGTACTTTCAATAGAAAAGTCCATTTAGGGTAAAGTCAATACTTTCAGAGCAGCTATATATTATCGCACATTAAATTACTGTGTATTTCCTTTTAGTTTTTCTCTGGCCAGTTGTGAGAGTTGATCTAAAGTGTTCTAAAAGAAAGGAGAAAAAAGTATGGCCAAGTACCCTTTTCAAATCTGTTGATCAGAAGAATAGTTCTGATGTGAAATTTATCTTACTAATTGAACTTACATTCTATGACATTTCTGATATATTAAATATGGTTTGAAAGTAACTAACAAGGTCTCTCTAAAAACCTAGTATAAATCATAATGTTCCAGTTAGCTTCCATATTACTTACATCACAATTCCCATAAATTACACAAGTTAATAGTTGAAACCAAGTCACCCTTGGAGGAGATTTGTAGTGAATTATAATTTAGTCCATAGAACTCAAATATTACTTGAAATTAAATATGTTATGGAATCTGAAGTCTCATTCACCACAAATCAACTATTAAGGCAACACAACCTGCTATGAGGTTTTGTGTTGGCCTAATTTCTTCCTTTCTTTGTCCAATTTTTATTTTAGAATAAGCCACAATAACTATTCATGTGAAATACTGGAAGAGGTGGATGCAAGAAAGATGAAATATGTGTAGTGTCATTATTATAAATCTTTATTAATGTAGTGGAGGGACAGCAAAAATGTAATGAATTTGAGGAAACATGGAAATTTTGTACAAATTTAAGATGTTCGGTATAGGTTGGCAGATATAACTAATGTGACATAAAACTTCAATTTGCTGTATATATAATGTGCTCATTTCCCATATTTATTTATAAATGTTTGCATTAATATATATAGGAAAGGATATTTTAACGACTTCAGGATTGTGTTCTGTGCAGACATAATTTAAAACAAAGTCACAAGTGTTTTTTTCATAATTTTTTTATTGCTTATCAAAGAAAATATATAACTAGTGCTTAAAAATAAGAATAAAAATACATTAAAAATGTATAGAACAAGTAGCAAACCTCACCTTCTTTAATAATATCTTCTCTTCATGGAAGATTAATCTTGCCAGTTTTTTCTTATGTAATCACCTTCTTGCCTTTAACCTACTTCCTTTGCATTCTTTTAATAATGGAATTTGTCTTCTCTCAGCCATATCTGCTATGGTTATACAGCTAAGTACAATAGCAATAGCAATAGCAGTTAGACTTATATACCGCTTCATAGGGCTTTCAGCCCTCTCTAAGCGGTTTACAGAGTCAGCATATCGCCC